AGAAAAATCAACAATCTGTTTCTGGTGCAGAAGTTAAAGCAGCGAAAAAACGCTGTAAAAGTGACTCTGAATCAAGTGAAGATGAAGATGAACTAGCAAATAAATCCGTTCTTCAATCACAACAATTTCAGAAATCTGATCAAAATATCCAAAGTATTGTTGCACAACAAAAACAAATACAAGAAAACCACAAGGAAACTAAATCCTTACTTTCATCACTTTACAACATGTTAGCTGGCGGCCCTTCAGCTTCATCATTATTGGGGGATAATGATGAAGTTTTTGATGATTCTGCTGTTTAATTATTTTTTATGATGAACAATTATAATAATTTTCTCCCTTCTTCTTCTCAACAACAACAAAAAAATTTCCCCCAAATAGAAAATAACAACCCAATTATTACAAAAAATTCTTTAAAAAATTCTTCAATAACGAAAATAGCTACTACGAATATTCGTACCCTTAGTAAAGATAAATTAATTTTTACATTAGATGCGATGAAAAATAATGATATTGACATATATGGATTAGCCAAGACTAATCTTTCATATCGACAATTGAAAATATGGCAACAACAATTTGGTTTCCATGGTTATTTTGATTATTCACAACAAGGGGGTAAAGGTCAAGGCGTAGGAATTATCGTTAGCGATAAATACGATATATTTGTTCATAAAGCAGTTGGTCATAAAGGCCGTGTTATATATTTAGACTTAAATTTTAGTCAAAAGAAAAACGTTAGATTAATTCAGGTGTACATTAATGCTAACAAAAAAGAAAGAACATAAATTGAGGAATTATATCAATATATCGAATATATTATCGATGACGCGAAAAACAAGAATATGGAAATAATCATTATGGGTGATTTCAATATTAATTATAGAAAATATTTGATGGCATTTGTTAATAATAGATGGTATTTCAAATTGTTCAAAATGCTAGAAAACAGACACCTCCTAGATACAATTCCAATATTTAATGAAGATGACGAAAATATATATACTTATATTCCGCCAAATAATTCAAATGAAAAATCACGAATTGATTATATTTGGGCTTCATTACCGATACTTGGACAAAGTTTGAATAGTACTGTAATAGAAAATGATCATTTTACTACGGATCATAATACTGTCACTTTATCACTTGATACACAATTGTTTATCAGAAAAACATTACCTAAGATTAACAAAAATAAAAAGAAACTAACTCGTACTGTGTTTTTATATGATGAAATGGATCAGGAAGATGATGAATTTACATGGGATAATTTCCGTGCTGGTTTGGATCATGAAATTGAAAGAATAAAATTAAAAGATCGAGTGATCACGAAAAGAAAACATATTGATCATGTGTGGGATTCTCTTAGACAACTTATAATGAAATCTGCTAACAAAAATATTAGAAACAAAAAGATTATTAAACGGAAATTCAAATGTGCTCCTGAGAAAAAGTTGTCAGTTTACTTTGATTTAAGATATATCATTAATCGTATTCAAGAAATTCGCTCATGTATCACAGGATTAAGAAACAATCAAAATCAGGAAATGATCGACAAATGGATTAATTATCAAAACGCGATAATTAAATTAAAAGACAAGTATGAGTTAGTTACGTCTGATAATATTTTTAATTTCTTAGATAATGATCAGTTCCATAGATATCTTGACGAACTTAATGAAATCAGGAAACAATTGAGAATTGTTTTTAAACTTGAACTTAACATTATGGAACAAGAACAAATTATATCTAACATCAAAAAGCGATGTGATAATTATAAAGATGATCAAGGGAGAATGATTCAATCTATTACAGAAAAAGAAATGGTTTCTATTTCAATTGAAAAAATTTATAAGAAAGATCATAATGGTAATGAAGTTTTAATTACAGATGAGTATCAGGTGATGGAAGAAACAAATCATCATTTTCAAACTGTAGCAGGCTCTGTTAATAGAAAGAAACCAATACAAGGCAGATGGAAAGATCAATATAAACCACAGCCTCATGTTAACGAAAATATATATTCTAGCATTATGGACGCTCCATCTTTTGATGAATGGTTAGATATTATTCGACAATTATCTAATGGAAAAGCAACAGGACCTTCTGGCGTGTCGAATGAAATGTTGAAACATTTAAGTGATGATTGTAATCATATTTTATATTATTTGATTTGTAAGATTATAGAATTGGGATATTTACCAAAACAATGGAAAGAAGCGACGGTCTTTCCTATTGCTAAACCTAAACCATTTAATTGTGAATTATCAAACTCTCGCCCTATTACTCTTTTAGAAACCACTCGAAAAGCACTCATTTCCTTGCTAAATCGTCGTTTAGCAATTATTTTGAAAGATAATAAAGTATTAAAGGCAAACCAATTCACAGGTCTGCCTAAACAATCAACATTTGAACCGATAAAGATTATGAACGAAGTTATTCAAGATTCAATCGATAATAATAATGAATTATGGATACTCTCTCAGGATATGGAAAAGGCTTATGATCGTGTGAACATCTTTCAACTCAAAAAAGCAATGGATAGAATTAAAATTCCTAACGATTTTTCATCCCTCATTTTAGAACTTTTAAAGATAGAAAAAATCAAGTAATCACTGCATATGGAAAAACTGCACCTTATGATGTTCTTACAGGAATTGATCAAGGAGAAGTAATTTCACCGTTGCTTTGGTGTATTTATTACGATCCTCTTTTAGCAGAAATTGATAAACAACAATTGGGATATAATATTTCTTGTATATCAAAATCAGTTGTTCAAGAAGAAGGTGTTCTTAATCAACAAAATGTNATGATACTCAATGGATTACTGATGAAAAATCAAAATTGGAAAAGATGTTATACATCGCTGATACATTTTATCGTCTTAACGATATTCAAATCAACAAAGAAAAATCTGAGCTTATGATGAGGACTACTACTGAGAAGCGTAAATACTCTCATAATTACAATGATAAAATTTCAATCAAGTTTGGTCGTAAAGTAATTAATATTAAAGCCAAACATCCACACGAACCTATGCGTATCCTGGGAGTGTATTTTAATATTGAACATGATGGAAATTATATAATGTTCAAAATCAAGAATGAAATAGACCATTTAGTTAATCTTATGTATAAAAAGAAGATTACTGATAAACATATTTTATATATATTTAATAGAATTATCGTTCCTAGAGTTGAATACTGGTCTCAAGTTATGGCTTTATCAAAAACTCAGACAGAAGCTTTAATTATTCCTTTTCGAAGGATGTTTAAAAACAAACTGAAATTTGCTCGCTCTGCGCCTAACGCTATACTTGATAATCCCTACATATATGGATATAGAGATTTTTATGATAATCAACTTCAAGCCAAAATTACGGATTTTTGTATTCAACTTAACAACAATGGTCTATTAGGAAAAGTTACTGAAATTCGTTTAAAATCCTTACAGGATCAACTATGGACATCGCGTCCATTGCTAGAAAAACTTCCTTATAATCGTGTTCCGCATACACGAAAAAATAATTATATTCTTAATATGCTTTTATTATGCTATGATAATAATATTTCGTTAGAAAATTTAGATGATAATACTTTTCCATTAATTAAAGGAGGTAAAATTCCTTTGGAAGACGTGGTAGATAATGCATATTATTCTAAACATAGGAAGAGACTTCGTGAAAAGAATATTTTATTTTTAGATCAAATTATTTCAGGTGATAAATCTCGTTTATTATTATGGAAAGAAATTCTTATTAAGGCTTATATTCCTATTTTTTCACAACGGAAAGAAACAAAATGGTATTCAGATATTAGAAATTTACTTACTTCAGATGGTGTTCATTTGAATCATAATATAAAACAATTATTTGGCACTCGTGTTGATAATGTGGAAGAGACTCGATCATATGATATTACTAAAAAGAATAGATCTTTAATAGCAGTTTATAATTCACAATTTAACTCTGTAGTTATTGGTAAAATTCAAGGTCTAGATGAAACACAACGACCTATTATTAAACATTTTCATATTGATATGATTAGATGTACTGATACACATACTTATATATATCAATGTATGGAATATGGATGTGCTGCTAATGCATCATTATCAACACGATCACCTTGTACGTTTTCTGCTGACTGGGAATGTTTAGTACCATTGTTAACAGATTCTCAATTTGCGCCTAGTCAACTTACTAACTTAATAGAATTTAATATTTTTGACATTTTTGATTTTGCAAAAAAGAAATATGATATTATACATCAAGCGTTAACGCAAAATCACGTGATTTCTTCACAATTGCAAGATAATATAATTTTGGATTTATTAAATTCTTCGACTTCAAGAAATGACTTGTTAGTTATACAACGAACATTAGCTCCTTTTGATAACAACAATTATTATATTTTTGAATTTTACACTGATGGATCTTTAATAGATTTAGGTACTGAGCAGTGTAGTATCAGTTGCGCGTTTGCTCAGATTAGTGATTTATTTGATATACCTCATGTCGAATTTTATTTTACTATTGATAAATGGCCTTCTGCGTATAGAGGAGAATTATTAGCTGTTCTTTTAGCATTAAGCGTTGTTCCAAAAAATAGTAAAGTTAGAATTAATACAGATTCGCTTAACGTAATTACTCAATTTGAAAATTTAAAGAAATCAAGATTTTCTCAAACTTCACGTGAATACTTTAAGGCTAATAATAATTTCTTATGGGCTATTTTATGTAGAATCATATTAACATTGAACCTGCATGTGGAAATGTTTAAGGTTGTTGCTCATGGTGATGATATGGGCAATAATTATGTAGATAATTTAGCGAAAATTGCGCATACTGATCAAGATCGCTATATAGTTTTTAGACAGGATGCTTGTATGATGAAAGTTCTTCCTTGTTGGAACGGAATTATTATTGAAAATAAGCTGCGCTCATTTTTGAAAAACATATGCAACTATAAAGGTTTAGAGAAATTTATTAATTTGAATAGAAATTCTAAATATCGCACATTAGAAGTTGACTGGACATCCACATTTAATTGTTTAAATTGTGATATAAATAACAATGAAACTTCTGTTTCTTCTTCTAAAACGAAAGCTCAAAAAGTTCACTTGTTAATTGAAGAAATTCCTACAATTGAACAGATGAAGAAATCCTTGCTTGACTTATATGATGGATGGATGTGCCCTATATGTGGATTACATGACGAAACCTTTACTCACGTATGGATGTGTAGTGGTCATTATGATATCATTCACAATATTAGAGATAAAACTATTAATCATCTCTTGACTTGGATATTAGAATATAATGATAATATACAAGATTTCAATGCTCTCATGGCGCTTGATATATGGGATATATCTTATGATCCTAACGTATTTACTTTTATCGATCTTATTAAAGGAATTATACCTATGTCACTTTCAGAATTGTTGAGTTCTTGGACAACAAAGAAAAACGTTGTAGATGTTTTAGTTCAAATGAGGCAGTTTATTTTTAATGAAATATTTGAAGAAATTTGGATTCCAAGGTGTTCGCATTTGAAGGAATTTGAACGTTCTATGGGGTTAACAAGAAAGAAAAAATTAGAATTCAAAAGCGTTCGTTCATTACCTAGTAATAATTCTAGTAATAATACTATTATTCATTATGATTCTTTAGATAGTGTTAGGAATTATATTTATTTTGGCAAAAATATAATAGAATTTTATACTAATCTTACTTCGTAGCGCCATCGTAGATTTTAGTAGTTTGATTTATATAATTTTATAAGGTCAATTTTACTTTCTTCTGCAGGGCGGGCTTCAACTTACCAAGTTTCGGCTAGTGTATGGGAGGTAGTGGGTTAATTAAAGAAATGGTTTTTAGGTGTAGTTGGTTATATCTTTAATAGTTTCGTATTTAATTGCCCCACCGTCGAAGTAGATTCTTCTGATAGTTTAGTTC